TTTGTTTTCCCTTTAAAACCACCTTAATGAGCGGAGTGAGGATCCTATATTTGAAATACAGGGCTTCATAAAATTACTTAAAAATTCTAATGCCCTTGTAGTTTCCTGACTGAGAGTGTTGCTCGCTGCAGGAGAGGCTGCAGCTGTCTGTTCTCGTGGCTGTTTGAGAATTAAGAACTGGTAAATATTTCGGTCTGTGTTTTTGGCCACCTTCCATTATTAGGCAAAAGGCTGAATTTGTGAGCAGCAGCATCAGTTACAGGACCAACATGAGTAATTTACTTTTCTATCTCCATGTATGTGAAGTTGCAAGTGTATACTGCATCTTCTTTAATTTGATCTTGGCATAGTGTGAATATATAGACAGCTATTTTTGAAAGTGATTATAACTGCTGATTTGCATAATGATCCAGGATTTCTCTCATAGCAACTGCAAAGACTGTCATCTTCAGCAACGTGGGAATGATTTCAGGCTTTGAGGAGCAGTGTTTCGTTAAATCTCTGAGCAGCATCAGAGCAGAGGCATCTCTGAAGTGGCACCCGGATTATTTGCTTTGGTCTGGTTTCAATATCGACGCTTTCTCATTGGGTGATTTCGCAGATTATTGGGTGGTTTGATTTTAAGGTTCCTCGGGCACGGCACAGTGCCTTGCTTCTGTAAAAGCTGCAGGTTGGTAATCAGTGAGCAGAGGATGGGGTTTTGGGATTTTTGCTGTTGTGTGTCCTGTGGCACAATATAAGAAGGATCTAAAGCTGTTAGGGAGAGTCCAACCTCTAACTTGCAGGGGAACAGGTGTCTTAGGAAAGCCCTACTTTGGCAGAACGTGGCAGGGTTTATTTTATGCTGTTTGAGGAAGCCCATTTCGAATCTGGGGAGTTCCAACACTCTGGTTGACTTTGTTTTGTGTGTGTTGAGCTGCCTCAATCAAGGACTGAGGCTTTTTCCATTTTTGTTTGCCTGCCCTTAAAAAAAAAAAAAACTTGGAATTGATAATGAACTTGTTGCATGTTTTAAGTGATCAGTTCTCCCAGGTTTCTAAAATTAGCAGTATCATCACCAATTTTGTGATGACTCAGAGTTCTCCCTTTGAATGGAAGCCCAGCTTCCAAGTTCCTGTGTAAGAAATCTCCCTCTTGGTAGGGAATATCTTAATTTCAGCTTTGGGGATCAGTGTTAAATTAAGTGAGGTGTGAAAAGGAGTGTCTGTGAACTGTGGAGCGTGGCTGGTGATAGAATTCCATGAAGATGATGCTCGGTGATGCTCCTAAAACCGGTCTGTGCAGTGATCACGGGTTGTCCCTGTCCCTGAAGAGAGGGGTTTTATTCCCCAGCATGGGGATAAAAACATGCAGGAATATCTATCCCCTCCACTTGCTGCAGATCTTGGGGTGGAAGAACTTGGGTTTTATGGCAGCTTTTCCAATGAAGCGATGAATCTTCTGTTTGTACTCAGAGGTTGAGATCATCTGTGCCAGCAGCAGCGCCACTTCCACCACCTTCTTCCATCTCAGGCTGGAAATGCCTTCAAACCAAAGGCATTTCTGCTGTTGCTTGGACCAACAAAAGAGCTGCAAAGCAACATGTCAAGGCTGCCAGAGCTCAAGGAGCTTTTGGGCAGCTCTTTCATTGGCAGGGTGGGACAGTTGGGGTTGTGTGTGCAGGGCCAGGAGAAACTCAGCGCTCCTTGTGAGTCCCTTCCAGCTCAGGATATTCTGTATTGAGCACACATTGAAAAGAGATAAAGTTATCTTGCCCAGCAGTAGGAGTGCATTTGTCATGGCTGTTCCTTGCTTTCCTTTGGGAGCAGAGGAATCCCGGTGCCATGAAAGGGTGTCCCAGGCTGGCAGGGCCGTGTCCTTTAGCAGGAGCCCTGCTGCAGACACAGGGGTGAGTCAGCAGTGGCGTGTGAACTGCATTCCTGCCTAATACTTGCAGATAATCACTGAGGTACTTCAGGACGATTATATTTAGGGGGTGGAGAGATTGCCTTGCCTGTTTCAAAAAAGAAGCAAACCGATCTCAATCATAGTTTTCTAAAATCAACCCCCTCCTCCTCACTGGGCTCGCCAGTGGAGGTTTGGTTTTGAGCAGCCCTGGAGTTTTTGTGCTCTCAGGTTGCAAAGCCCCAGAGCACACAGAATGCTTTTAGTGAATCAGCATCACAGACTCACAGAGATACCTCTGGAGATCATCCACTCCAACCTCCTGCCCAGGCAGGGTCACCTGGAGCAGGTGACACAGGAACATGTCCAGGTGGGTTTGGAGTGTCTCCAGAGAGGGACACATTCCCTGGGCAGTGTTCCCTTGTTCCAGTGCTCTGCCACCCTCCATGGGAAGAAGGTCTTCCTCATGTTGAGGTGACCTCAGTAAATAGATCTGATTTTTTTCCCCCCACCCTGCCCCTTTGAGAGTATTTTCCTTTTTTTTTTTCTTTTCTGGGATATTGTGGAGCACCTTTTGCAATGTCCACTCTGCACTTAAAAAATAATTGCAGTCATCCTGGTACAGTTTAAGGGACCTTAAACCTCATCCAGTTCCACCTTCTGCCATGGGCAGGGACACTTTCCACTAGCCCAGGTTGCTCCAAGCCCCGTCCAACCTGGCCGTGGACACTTCCAGGGATAGGGCCTGGTTAAGTTAAACATTCCTAGTGATTCCTAGTGGTGATCAGTCAAAGGTTGGATGATCTTGGAGGTCTTTTCCAGCCTGATTGATTCTGTGATTTAATTCTGCTCCTCTTTAAAAGCAGAAATGCCTGTGAGCTGTGCGTGTGCCCTTGAGCCAGGGAGGGGAGAGGGGTCACAGGAGAGGCCGGATCCAAGCGGGAATTGGGTTTTCCAAAAAACACGAACCCGCCCCGGTTATTTTGGAACTTTTTATCTCCCTCTTGCCTGCGCGTTTCGAAGCTTTGGTGTTTGGACAAGTCTGGGAGCCTGCTGACTGGAAAGGCTGCTGTTGAGGTGTTCCCTTCCCTTTGCTTTGGGGTGTCTGCTTCGCTTCCATCTTGCACCAGCTGGGAATCCTGGAAAGTATCTCGTGGCTCAGCCTCTGGGAGAGGAAAAACATCTGAGCGTAAACCACAGGCTGCGACGCCTGGGAAAAAAAAAACCTTGGAGTAAAGCTCACAAATGGAAATCCGAGCAAGTTGCAGCGGAATTTGGTGAAGTTTGGGCGTCTGTCTGATGGGTGATACTATAACTGAAACTGGGGTTTGATGTGGTGTGTCAAAATGAATTGATTTTACCCCTGGTTTTGTTTTGTTTTGTTTTTTATTTGACCCTGGCAGGAGTGCTTGTCTTCCACAAAGCAGTGCTGTGGAGAGCAGCTTAATTTATTGGGTTCTTTTGCTGGGGTAGTTGATGTGGCCCTCGCTGCTCAGGGTAGGACCCAAAAGGAGGTGCTTTGCAGGAGAAATGCTGGAAAAGTTGGCAGTAGGGAGAAATCAGGTTGAGGAGGGATTGATGTGGTGTGTAGCTGAAAGCCAGATAATTCGCTGTTAATATAATATAGAACCAGTTTCTTCTTCTTATGGCAAAGAAGAACCGAAAAATAGTGAAGACACTGCTAATTATATAGCACCTTTTGTTAATTAAGGAGGTGTGAACTGCTTGAGAAGTAAAATAGGATCAGAGTGGTGTTCAACGTTTGTTATTTGAAGTTATCACAAGCTCTGTAAGTTAAGCAATTTAATGTTTAGGGGTTTTTTTTTTCTCCTCCAGTGTAAGTGTTTTTTAGGGTTTGGGCAAGTACAGAATAAACTGGAAACCAGCCACAAACCCCTTTCAGCTTCCGTATTTAAGGCAGCTACAAATATTTATTTCATTTACTCAAAAGCTTTCCTATTTTTCTCATTGTCTGCACAAATCATCTGTTGAATGGCCCGAGCAGACCAATGCCTATTAATACTCGAATTACCACGCAGTAAATGCCAATTCTTTCTTTTTTTTTTTTTTTTCTGAGAGTACAAAACATGATTTCCGTGTATTCAGCCCTTAATGTTTTTCTGGAGTCTCGCAGCTAACGGTGTCAATGCAGAGCTCGGTCTGTGCTGCTCTGCTCCGAGGGCTCGAGCTTGTGGGAATTCTGCAGGGGTGGAGTAAAGGAGTTTCATGTCCTACTTCAGGCTTTGCTTTGTGTACAACTAACTGGAATTTTAATACCTTGGAAGCTGCTGCAGAGTCTCCCATCCCAATGATCCAAGTCTTTGCAGCTTTGGGATATTCTGACCATCAAAACCATTCTTGACAGGGTGGGATAATTTAGGTTAAATAATTCAGGTTAAAAGGGCCCTCTGGAAACCACCTCCTTCAAGCCCCCTTGTTTAAAGCAGGGCCAGCTTCAAACATATCATGCTTTGTTCTTGCTCCTTCTAAAATTAGTTTGAGGAGGAGGAGTATGTTAATGCAGCAGGGGATGGGCTGTTGGAGCTGCTGCTTTCATTTCTGGTTTGATTTTTCAGTGAAGCTTCTTCACTGCATTATCATTCCCTAACACTGTTTTAAACTCAGGAGTACTTTCCTTTCTGCAGTTCTGTTAAAAAAAAAAACAAAACAAACAAATGAATCCACGTATCATTTCACCACCAGGAAAATAAATGCCAGTAATTTTCTAGCAGTTTGCTGGGAAGTCTGTAGAGATGTAAACTTACAGCTTTCCTATTTGCCCCTTTTTTTTTCCCTCAGCACTGATTTGTTTGGGCTTAAGAGGTACTTTTACCTTAAGTTCTTTTATCTCAGGTTGCTTGTGGCAAGTGAATTGCAGGTAGTTCAGAACAAGAAATGAGGATAATTCTTCAGCAGTGGGTAATTGTTGGGTTTTGGGGTTTTTTTTGATAAACAAGATGCATAATCCTTTTCACATTCCCATCTGTTGTGTGGAGCCAGTTGGAGTTGTTGCTTTGACTTGGATACAGTTAAATACAATACATTGGATTGATGTCCATTCAGTGCTCTTGCAGACATTTTACTTTACAAATATTTCCTTTAACTTGCACGTCCAGATATTTATCCAAACATAATTGCTATGGGCTTTCCTGCAGAGAGGCTTGAAGGAGTATACAGGAACAACATTGATGATGTAGTAAGGTAAGGCTTGCTTTTTCTTTTTCCTAAACTTATGCAGCTGGAATATTCTTTTCTTCACTCATTTAAGTTGTGCTGAGGAAAGGATGTGTGTTCTGACACACAGGTTTTTGCTTCTTGTGGATGTTGCCTGATTGGTTTTCCTGGAAAATGTTGGAGACTAAGGAAATGGTCAGGCTGCCGTTCTGGAGTGATCTCCAATGCATGTAATCTGCTGCTTTTTTAGTGTGAAAAATTCACTGCAGTGAGTTGTGTTGGAGTGAAAAGGAGGTTCTTTGCTTTTAGGAAGACATCAGTCCATGGCATTTCAGGATAAATTTGGCCTTACCCTTTCTTCAGTCGTTAATGATGTGCTTCATGAGTTAATTTTGAGTCAAAGTAGTAAATACAGGTGACTTTGTCTAAAGGCTTTTTTACATTGGGTTGTGTTGAGTAATCATGGACAAAGAGAAAAATCAGCTAAAATTCGTTATTGCTGCTAAAAAAACCCTCCAGGTTGTCATTTTTACCACCAAATGAAGTCATTGGCTGTGAATTGCTGGCTGCAGCTGCACAGGGGGTGCAGACTGTTTTGGGAGCATCCTTGTAATTCTTCAGTCATCAACACCCAACCTGGAGAGTGTGGAGTGAGAGGCTGCATTATAAACGAAGTACTTGGTGGAAGCTGCCAAAGTGTGTGTTTGGGATCCTGAGCTGGGGTTTTTTGAAGCCATGTGTTGATGCTCTAGAGATCATTTGAGGTCATGAGCTCGGTAGCTCCAGGACAGACGTGATGTTTGGGGCAGGAGGGTAAGGCAGGAGGGTTCCAGGGTTTGACACTCCCACACAACATCCTTGGCTCTGAACTGGAGGGACGTGGAGTTGGTGGATGGACCACTCAGTGGAGTTGTGGTCAAGGGCTCAGTGTCCTCATGGAGACCGGTGAGGAATGCTGGGCTGATCCTACAGCCTGCACAGCAGGGGCAGAGGGGGGAGATTCTGTCCCTCTGCTCCATTCTGATGGGACCCCACCTGGAATGCTGTGCATAGTTCTGGTGCCCCCAGCACAAGAAGGACATGGAGCAAGTCTGGAGGAGGCCACAAAGTTGCTGAGGGGACTGGAGCACCTCCTGGGGACAGGCTGGGAGAGCTGGGAATGTTCAGCCTGGAGAGGAGAAGGTTGGGGAGACCTCACATCACCTTCCAGGGTCTGAAGGGGCTGTTCATCAGGAACTGGAGTGACAGGACAAGGGGGAATGGGTTCAGATTGACAGAGGGCAGGGTTAGATGGGATATTGGGAAGGAATTCTCCCCTGTGAGGGTGGGGAGGCCCTGGCACAGGTTGCCCAGAGAAGCTGTGGCTGCCCCTGGATCCCTGGAAGTGTCCAAGGCAACCTGGGCTAGTGGAAGGTGTCCCTGCCCATGGCAGGGGATGGAATGAGATGTTCTTTAGGGTCCCTTCCAAATCAAGCCATTCTGGGTTTCTGTAATCATGGGCAGGCAGAATTAGCTCTGCTTGGTTTCGCTGGTGATTGTTTCCAGTCTCTGCTGGAATTGTTACCAGAGGTGTGGAGTTGTGGTCTGTAATCACAGGGCTGCACACAAGAAAAGGTCACTCGAGGAGGTTGTGAACTCCCCACCCCGGGAAGTGTCCAAGGCCAGCTTGGTCAGAGCTTGGAGCAACCTGGGCTAGTGGAAAGGTGTCCCTGCTTATGGCAGGGGGATGGAACTGGATGGTCTTAAGGTCCCTTCCCACCCACAAAACTGAGCCTCTGTACTCAGCTTTCACTGGCAGCAGTCAGAGCCACGTTTTTTTGGTGCTGATGGGGGCTTTGCATCTGCTGAGTGACAGGTCTGGTCCCTGAGGGGCTCCATCTTGGGGAATTGTAGGATAGGGCCAAAGGCTGGATTGAAAATCAATCCTAGAATGGTTTGGGTGGGAAGGGACCTTAAAGCTCATCTCATTGCACCCCCTGCCATGGGCAGGGACACCTCCCACTAGCCCAGGGTGCTCCAAGCCCCGTCCAACCTGGCCTTGGACACTTCCAGGGATGGGGAGTCCAAAAAATCCTCTCTGGGCAACTCATGCCAGGGCCTCACCGCCCTCACAGGGAAGAATTTCCTCCTAATATCCAGCATGGGAATAATCCAAATAAATAACAATAGGCAGCAGCCTTTGAAGGCCCTCTTTTTATTCACAGCATTGATTTCAGTTGCTTCTGGATGAAGGAGAATACATTTTATTGAGTGCATAGGTGTGTGTAAAATAGACTTTTGAAGATGAATGCCTATAGAATGATTAAGCTGTCCATAAACACTCTGATAAAAAGGAGCAGTGATCACCTAAAAGCATCATCAACCAAATTAAGATATGGAGAGATGTAAATTAAGTGGCTGTAGGGAACTGGATGCTGAGGCAGTGATATGTTTGTTGCCTCCTATTTTTAAACAAGAATAAAATGTGATCATGCAGCATTTTTCCATGTTGCATTCCTCATCTGCTCTGGTCCTTTTTTATCGTGGAATTATTTCTCCAAGAGCTTTTCATGCAGAAATTCAACGTTGCTTGAGCTCCGGAGCAATTGGCATCGAGCCAGGATCCACCAGTGGGCTTTTTCTGACTATCCTGACAAATTCCAGGCTAATACTGCGTGAGAAGTACGACCTGGACTGCTGGCAGTGGCACTTGGAGAGGTTTTGGATGGAATTTCATCCTTAGAACGGGAGATGGAATTTTTTTTCTTTGTGGATATCACCGGCAGCAGCGGAGTCAGCTCTCCTCACTCTCCTGAGTGTGTGTTAAACAAGCAGGAACATCTGAAAACAAACCTCCATGTCCACCATCTTCCTCAGGCTCTCCCAAGTGTGCCAGGAGCGGGGGAACCAGTGGGAGCTCTGGAATACTTTTTATTCCCGATGAAATCGGAATCTCCCCCCTCGACACGAGGAGCGTTCACATCTGTTCCTGTTCCAACGCCAGGGTTGAACCACGGAGTTCTTCGGGATTCTTGCTGGAATATTATGACTGATAAAACCAGAGCTTGTTTTCGCTCGAGCTTTCCAGGATTTTTTAGCAGCCAGTGTTTCTTTTCGATTCGAACAGCATGTTCTGTCATGGCTAATTAAATTCCTCCTGGCTGATGTGCAGATACACACTGTTGATGATGTTAAGTGTAAACATTTGTGTGTTCTTCCTTCTTGCACGTTGCCAGGTGACACATCATATATAATCGCGGCAATTTTGATGAATCACGTTTGCAGTTTGGCTCGCCCGGGCTTGCATGGGAAGTTTGTGTTTTTTGGGGGTTTTGTTTTTGTGTTTGTGTTTTTTGTTTTCTTTTTTTTTTGGTCCAAAGTGAGGTTGGAAATGAAAGGAGTGTGAAAAAGCGATCTCCCTCCTTGCTTCCTCTCAGAACCCACAGTATCGCACTTGGGTGGCAAATAACGGCCCTTTAAAATGGGATTGAAAGGAACGGTTGGGGCTGCAGCTGGAACACGAAAGTTACTTTAAACTGCTCTGAAAAATGTGTTACCTAGATGATAGAATGGGAGGTGTTCACAGATCCCTGGCGTGGTGGGTGCTTTCTGCTTTTCAAAATAACCAGCCCTTCCTCAGCTTCACCCAGCGATCTGCAGGTACTCCAGGGATCAGCAAATCAGTCCACACAGGCAGTGTTTCGGTTGCAGGCCAGATCTTGGCTTTTCTGAGTTGCAATAATCCCTCTATCCGTGTTGCTGGATTGTTTGGATGAGCTCTGCAGGGAGTGCAGAGCTGCACATGCTGGGTGGTGCTTTGAGGATGCTGCAAATTAATTATTGCAATGTATATTAATACAGGATTTTTTTTTTCTTCCCTTCCTGCTTAAGGTTTTTGGATTCAAAGCATAAAAACCATTACAAGATATACAATCTGTAAGTATGCTCTTAGAGATGCATTTTCCCAAAATAATGACTTCTAAAAATAGCTTTTGGAGGGGAGGGTGGGGGGGTGCAAGTGGCTTCTTGTTGCCGTCCCGAAGCGGAGCTGGGGATGTTTTCTGCACATTTCTTAAAACAATTAAGGCTGATTGAGAGCCCTGGTACTTCATTTAGAGGAGCTGAGCGAGGTTAAATGAAATGCTGGGGTGTATTCACGTTACTTGAACGCTTTTAAATGACTTGGCACCCGGCCCATCTGGAGCTTGTACCATGTGATTAAAAAGTGAAAAGTAATTCACAGCAGGCTTTCTGTTCGTGTATTAATGTCCAGTTGCCAAATGAATATTTTCCTGGGAATTTTTTTTTTTGTTTCTCTGGTTTTTTTGGGTTGGTTTTTTTTTTATTATTTTTCTTTTTTTTTCAACCCAACCACATTGGTACCGTGGCTCTCTTTGCTTCCTCACTCCTCTTGTCTGTCCCTGTATTTATGACTTTAAAAAAAAGCTGTTGGGGCGATGGGTGATGGTTTCTCACTTCTCTTAAGTGTAATGTTTTGCCTCTGAAAATTTAGTTATGCAGAAAGCTGTTACTGTTGCTGTTCCTTGATCAAATTTATATGTTAGCTTAGGCTAATTTCATTTGTATAAATGATTTGCTGATGTCAAGCTGCTGTTGAGAAGTAGGTCATGGTTTTCCTACCCCTCAGCTTTTTCCTAGAAATCTTAAGTTGAAGATTGATTCTCTGAAGTGCTACAGCTTTATTTTTTTTATTTTTTTTTTAAATGAATGTGTTTCCAAAGATCTGCAATTAATGGAAAAATCACTGTCGTCTGAAAATCCAGGCAATGCATGACACTGTAATCTGTCAGTCATTAAAAATAAGCATTTAAAAATGAGGATTTAGCTCTGCCTCTGAGTTAGCTGAAGGATTATGCATCAAGCAGCTCTGTTTCCTGATGCTGGGGAGAAGTGACAGCAGAAGCTGAGGAATTGTATTCTGATTTTTGAAGTTGTCTGGGACAGAAAAAAAGGATACAGGCATAAAATACACTCAGTGGCCATCTTTCATACAAGTTCAGGAGCAAAACTGCATTTTTCAGCTTAGAAGCCCTCCAGAATGTTATCCTATGAATAAATGGATACAATTTCTGGCAGGGGGTTGCTGTGTGTAAACCACGCTTGGTCAGAAAGAAGGATTTTTTTTTTTTCTTCATGTAAAAATGGATTTCCCTCTTGCTCACCTTGAAAACAAATAAAGCTTCCTAAAATTGCTCGCCCTCAGATGAAAAAACTTTTGGAGGATAAAACATCCTGTTAAAGTGTGAGGAGTGTTTTTTTCTTCCCAAGATGTGGCTCAGTTGCAAATGAAGATTTAAGTGATTTACTTGGAAAGTGGAGCTTTTAAACCGTGTGGAGATCCCAGATTGTCTCTTGCATCTTTTTGCAGGAGAGGTTTATACACGTGAAATGCCATCAGGTGACTCGTGGCAGTGTTTGCTCAGGAGGTGGGGAAGGAGTTGCATCCATCAGGTGTTGCAGAGAGCTTCGTCTCCTCAGATGAAGCTGTAAATAATCACCTATTGTCTGTGTTTCAAAGGAGGAGGTGGGAGGGAGTTCAGAGGAGCTACGTGATCATAGTCAGAATTATTTCCAACTGTCACGGGGTTTGAGTTCCCTTAAGGTGGCTGTTCCGGGAAGTTTGATTTAAAAGGATTTAGAGATTTTTCTAAAATTAAGTCAGTTATGCCTCATCCTCACATCTTTTTCATTTCCTTACCAGTGTTGGAGCAGTTTCGTTTTTGCTCCTTGTTTGTGTGGCTTCTCTCCTGTGTTCCTTTAACCCTTTGCTGTTTCTTTATTTATATTTTTCCCTTTCATCTCCTCACTCCACGTGCTGCCAGATTGTTACCCCCCCCCTTTTGGAATCCTCTCCATCTTCTCCAGGGTATTTCCTTGCAGTGTCCTGCAGGCAGATGGTGGAAGGAAGGATTTGATGTGCATGTTTGTTCTTCTGTGGAAGCCCAAAGTCCTTTGGCAGGTCGTGATTGATCAGGAACGTGCCTGGCAGCACTTTGGTGCTTTAAACTCCCTTTAATCCTAGGGAGGGTTATAAGACCTGTGCCAACCCACTCCTCAGCCCCAAAATGCAAAGAAATATTCAGGTTTCATCTGGAGACCTGACTATTACAGGTGTTTTAAAAAAAAAAAACAAAATGCTTTTAAAGTGTTAAGCCCCTCCAGCACTCCCCAAAGCGTGTGTTGGTGGGATCTGTGCTGCAAATCCACAGGATTTGGAGTCAGCTGTGCCTGGAACCCCGCATTTGGTTGTGTTCAGCTCCCAAAAGAGGGCACAGAGAGGGCCATGAGTGTGTTCTGTGCTCGGTTTCTATCCTTGATATCAGCAAAACTATTTCTTCTCCCTCGTGGCATTTGACTTGAGACTCTCTCAAACTTCAAATTGTGAAGGCTTCCCATGGGTGAATTATTTCTTGGGGGGTGTGTTTTGAAGACTTTCATCTCTTCCTACCCATTTGATCTGGGTGTTTCTTTAAGAGGAGGCAGGAAACCCTCTTGGATAAGATGCTTTGTGTTAACTGCTTTGCTTCCTAAGCAGGCTCAGCTCCCAGAGTGCAGGTGCTGAGTGGTGACTCCATCCTGGGTGAACATCCTGCATCCAACCTTTCCTCTCGAAGGCTCGAGTGCAGATGATGTTTCTGGGAGTCCCATCTGCCACCTTCACCTGTGTCAGGTCACTTCTGACCCAGGGAACGTGTCGGCAGTGTGGTGGGAGCTGGAGAAGCTGCCAGACTTTTCCCTACATGAGGGTAGAGTCGGGAAGGCTCTGCAATCCTGAGAAAGGGGAGCACTGAGAGCTTGTGCAAGCCCAGCAGAGTTGTGAGTGTCGTGGACAAAGTTCAGAGCAGCTCTGGAGGCTCCACTTACAGTCACAAGTAGGAGCCCAAAAGTTTGCGTGTCTGAAAGTGTCAGGTCAGCTCCATGTGGCTCCAAAGGCTGCAGTCATAACAGCTGGGGAGGAGAGATGAGTCCTGAAACTGGGGTGGGAATTGGAGTCCTGTGAAGAGCAGAGGTTGCAATCAGAGCAGAAGATCTACGTGTGCTTCATCTGCCGAAATGACTCCCGGCCGTTGTGTTTCAACCTGGGGTCCTATTGTTTCGTAGAATCATGGGATGGTTTCGGTTGGAAGTGGCCTTGAATCTCCCCTCATTCCAACCCCCTGCCATGGGCAGGGACACCTTCCCTAGCCCAGGTTGCTCCAAGCCCCATCCAAGCTGGCCTTGGCAGGATTCGAGGCAGGATTGTTCTTGTTTTCCTTTCTGAGCTGCACTCCTATCATTTGGCCTCAGAGAGCAGCTCCAAGGAACACTGCAAGGGCATCCACTCTTGCCTTCTTTCCCTTTACCCCAACATCTCATCTCAACTGGCTGACTGGCATTTAAAGTTCACTTAAATTCAAGAACCAATGCCAAGTGTGATTTCTGTGGGAATATCTGGTGGGGCTTTCAGTTGTCTCTGGGGGTCCTGAAATGTCCTCGTGATCCCCACCACTCCTCTCTTGCTGCAGAGGCATCTTGACGTGTGTTTTGAGTTCAGAATCAATTGGATGAAGGTCACAGCTGCCTGCTCTCTTCATGTGTTTGGGAGCATAAAGCTGCCTGGAGTGGCAGGAGCTGTTAATAGCACAGGTTAAAAAGTAATTATATATTGCATTACTTGCGTGAATTGAGTCACGTCAATTAAACGTACCGATGGACTGCAGTTAGCAGAGGGTAAGTATTTGCCTTTCAGTAAAACAACTGCTATTTTAGTGAGCAGTTTTACAGATCTGCAGTTTTTCTGTGTGGAACCTCCAGCTGTACTTTCGAAATCCTAAAGGTGAAAACGCTGGGATTTTCCCAGCCGCGCGTTCCGAGGCGGGACGGATGTCGGGAGCGCCTCAGAGACATCAACAACTCTTGTCTGTTCTTCTTTTTTTTTTTCAGATGTGCTGAAAGACATTATGACACCGCCAAATTTAACTGCAGAGGTACGTTTGTCCTGTTTAATATCTGTCCTCTTTAAGCTGCAGTGAAGGAAGGGCTGAAGGAGGAGCCGATGAACAGTCACGTAGGAGATTTGGGCGCAGGGAATGATGTCAGATTGCTTTGAGTCACTGGAAAAACTTGCTGTGTTCTTGGTGCTTTCAAAAAAAAAAAAAAATGGGCCTGACAGTTAAAGATCAGGACCTAATTAGAAATGTGCTGTTGCAAAAATCTTTGCAGAGTGGGTTATAAAGAAGTTTCAGTTCAGCCTGCAAACTTACTGTACAATTTACACGTGCAGCTTTGGAGGAGTCTGGTTCTTAGGAACAATAGAAATGGAGAGCACTTCAGCCACTGTCAGTGTTCATATAAAGCAGCTTTTTGAAGCTCTGGCATAACCTTCAGATGCTTAAAAAAAAAAAAAAAAAAATTAATTCCCATTCACCTCTTAGAGATGAGCTGGGTTTTAGACACTTTGCAGAGCTACTAAAACCAGCAGGGAAACTTTCAGGAGGGCCTTTTGACCAGGTCTTTTTGGTGAGTGGATACTGATGTTGCTGTTGTGTCATCTTGACTCCCCAGGTAACGAATAAATATGGATTTCCCTCCTTTCTTTGGGCACAGGAACATCTCTGTGCACAGTAGTAGAGCTGCCTGTGTAGATGAGAAGTTCTTGTGTCTACACAGTTGTAGGAGATGACCAAATTTTGGCAGCACGGGCTAATCCTACATCATTGCAAGAGCTCAACTTCTTCTTTTCTTTTCTTTTTAAACGTTTTTAATTAATATTATTTTAAACCATCCTTCTAGTTATAAAAGAGAGGTTTAGAACATGACCAAAATATAATTGGCTGCTCTGATGGCTGAATATAGAAGGACTGAGATTGTCGTGTCGAAGCCATCATCACTTCTGATTTGCTCTCACCACGTTGAATGACATGTCCTGAAACCTCACTCCATATATATAAAAGCCAGGAAAAAAGAAAAAAAAAAGAAAAGTATTTTGAGATGTGCTTGAGCAGTACTTTGGGTGAGTGAGGAGAGAAAAGGCGTAAATGAGAAGGACGTGGTTCTAATCTGGCCAGAACATATGTCTGCTCTAATTTCTGCTTTTTGATAGGGAGGTGGCAGATCCCTTCGCTGTCAATCCCAGCCCAAAATGCTGTTTGTGACAGCACCTTTCACAGCTCCTCTGCACATGTAGCTTTTTTTTCTTTCTTTCTTTTCATCCCTGAATTAGTTAACCTTAGATAACCAGATTGGTGACTCAGGACTTCCCTTAGCAGAGGAACAACAGCTCTACTTTGAAATCCCCTGAAGTGAATTAATTGCAGAGGGAACTTCTTACTTTTACACTTAGCATGAAACACCAGAGTAGTTCATTATTCACCTTGGATGCTCTTACATCAAATTAAACCTTGAAAAGCTCTTCATCATCTTTGGGAATTTGCTTTCTGCCCAGGGTTTTTGCAGTTCCCAAAGTACTTCTATGCCTGAAATTACCTTCTGCTTTGCCACAGACTTCCCTTTTTATTACTTTTTTTTCCCATTCCTTTACGTGCTATGGGATTTTTCTTGTGATGTCTGGGAGCTTGGAGAGGATAATCAGGCTCCAGTGTTAGGAATCAAAATCCATGGAGGACCCTGCACCTTCTCAAGGATCCAGCTCGAGGCTGTGAAGTTTAATGTTTCCTTCCTCTTAATCCCCCCACCCCAACATCACAGGGCACCCATTTCATCCTCAGCTCGTTGCATCTTTGAAGAAATTGCCACAAGCTTTGCCTTTGATCCCAGACCTTGGAGAGCACCTTCAGCACGCTGGGACTGTTTGGGATTTTTCAGGCTGTTCTTTCAGGACTGTTTTACTCCCCTTTCCATGGGAACCTTGCTGGCTGTAGTTACTCAGAGTTGGATGGACACGTTTGCAGCTTCTTTTCTTAGGGATTTCGAAGTAAATCCCATCTTTTGTTTCCATCTGCAAAAGGGCATCTCTGAGTTCACGTAAAACAATCCTTTGGGGAGTCTTTGGATCTTCCACCTGGAAGAATTTATTAACATGTGTTCCTGATGGTGAACCTTTGTTGCTTCTTTAGCAAAGATTCTTCACTTCATTGGGCTTCCCTGTTTGGTCTTCTGGGAGAAGTGAATAAACTGTCCTTGTAGATCCTTCCAAAAGGCTTCAGCCATTCAGCAGTTCCAGAACTTCATCCCTCCCATGTGCTCTTCCAAGTCCTTGGGGATTCATCAAAAGGAGCCTTGTGTGTGTGTGTGACCAGAGAGTAGGGCTTACGAAACGACCGCAGACCCTTGCCAAAAAAAAAATGGAATGTGTTCCTTTTGAGCCCAGAAAAGGAAATGGTGTTCCTAGCTGAGAATTTCTGCAGTGAACCAGAGTTGTGTTGATAAGATCCCGAGGCGGATGGAGAAGTGGGGTGGCACTTCATCAAGTGCCTTCTCCTGGTGGAACTAAAACATCCCTTGGGATCCTGTTGCTCAGCCTGGCGTTGTCTGATGTGTGATCCGAGGTGCTCGAGGTCCGGGTGCTTCTCTCTGCTTATTTTTTTGCTCCCTTGAGTTTCCTTTCGTTTCCTGCGTGAAGTTCTGTTTCCATCTCTAGGTGGAAAAAGGTGTGTGTGGTGCATGAATACACCCATATAAAAAAGGAGGACTGCAAACCCCCTGAGTGTTTTATATGTGATTTTTCTTTTGATTACCCTATTTTTAAAATATGGAAATGGCAGGTTTTTGTTTCAAAGCACCTTTGAGAGTTTGCTCCCAATGCAGACCCAACCTGTGCTCAGTAATTTTTCAGCAAAATTCCTGTTGTCTGGCCCTGTTCTCCCTCAGCAGGTAGTTTAATTATTGCTGGAGTCATGGCTTTCCACAAGGCTATTCTTGGTGCCAGCACGCTCTGAAATTCTAGAAGGTTCCCCTTGCAGAGCCTGTGCCGCTCATTTCAACAGAGGCGTGAAATAATTGCTTCGTGGAGCAGGATTCTTGTGGATTACTGGAGAAATTTCTGCAGTGCTTATAATACACTGAATAATATTAGAATAAAAAATACCTAGATGTAAAATGGGGGGGGGGAGTTACTTAACAAGTTAATTTTGACATGTTTGTCACCGAGTTGCTCTGTCAGAGCTTGCTGCGTTTCCCTTGGACATCCTGACCAATTCCTCCTTCTCCTTGCAGTTGCACAGTACCCTTTTGAAGACCATAACCCACCACAGCTGGAGCTCATCAAACCTTTCTGTGAAGACCTTGACCAGTGGCTGAGTGAAGATGACAATCATGTGGCAGCAATCCACTGTAAAGCTGGAAAGGGACGAACTGGTGTAATGATTTGTGCGTATTTGTTGCATCGAGGCAAGTTTTTAAAGGCTCAAGAAGCCCTAGATTTCTATGGGGAAGTAAGGACCAGAGATAAGAAGGTGAGATGCTCCCGATATTCCTTCTGTTCCTCTCTCTGTAACTTGCTGCTTTTCCTCCTTGAGGTCATTTTGATGCTCAAACCCTTAAAGAAATACTTGCCATCAGTTGTTGTGATGTCTGGTTTGATTTCAGCTTCAGTGTTATCAGAGCAGTGCAGTTATAAATGGAAAAGCTTTCCTAAGCAGCAGTAGCAATTAGTCACAACACTAAAACAGCCTGGTTTTTCCATCTCCTGTTCAGGAAGACCTGGACAGTCTATTTTAAATAGCTTTTCCAGCAGAGTTCTGCTGGGTGTTACATCAGGTGGGCAGTCCGTGAGGGAACTTTCTCGTTCAGCATTTTCAGCCCAAATAAGAGGATTATTCCAGCTTGTTTTGCCTGAATGGGTGAGCTGTTCATCTCCTCAGGTTCTCCTAACTTCTGTGGTGGTGTTCAGAGATGGGCAGGCATTACAGTTGAATATCCCTACTGGAAGAATGCACTGGAATGTTGTTGGATGCCCCTTTTCAATAGAAGGGTTAGTGAAGAGCCTTTCTGGCATTGTTATGCCTCATTAACGGGAATTCAACCTTCCTTCTTTGAAATCTTCTCCAAAGATAATAAGGTGTGAATTGCAAGGTCACTTGAACAAGCTTCCCTGCTCATCTTTTCACCATTTCCTTGAGTATGTTGGTCGAGCATCCCAAAGGGATCATCCCAGCGGGATCATCCCAGCAGGACAGCTTTTCAGTCTCCTCAAGTGCAGAGCTCTCTCTGTTCCTGTGATGTTTGCACAAAGTATTCATTTCACAGTGTGAAGGCCCCTGAAAAGCAGAGCTTCGTGTCTGAAGGCTCTTGAGGGCAGAAGTGGCACATGAGGAATTCCAGGGATTTGGCAGTTAATTCACTGGAAGGAGCAAGTAGCTCCTTGGTTTGCTCCCTTGGCAGGATGGAGCTGTTATTCCACGGACTGCTGAGTTGGTTGTGGTGTGACACTGGAGCAGAGGCACTGCCAAGGTCTCCCATCAGAACTCTGAGGCTTCTGGTGAGAGTTCATGACTAGGGGAGGAGTGGCTTGAGTAAACACAGGAGATTCCTCCTGCTGATTAAGGTTATCTCAAGAGCTGCCCCAAAACAGCCCTAAAACCACAAAGCTGAAGAAATGCAGGGTAAAAAAGTGTGTTGTTGCCTCAGTTTCCCTCTTGGAAAAAGGTGGCATTTCTGCATGTCAGTGTGGTGGGGATAAGGGCAGTTGGGTGTTCATCAGCACCCCAGTGGTACCTCGGGCATCTTGGAGATAAGGGAACCTTAGTCAAGAGGAATAGTGAGAGGCTTGTTTAGCTTTACTCTAAATATTGTCTGTAACCAGCAACTTTGTTTTGGTTTCGATGTCTCTACTGGAAGAGTTGATTTTTTTTTATTTGATTTTTTTTCCCCTTCCCAGCTCCACTTGAGCATGGTTATCTTGATGTGGCCAGTGGGCAGCATTTGACTCACATAATCCTTCAAGTAGTGTTTATAAACAGGTATTCCAGTGCAGGTTCTGGGAGCCTTTTCCTCCCTGGTGGCCCATATTTCAGTGTTATATGTCAAGTGCTGCCCTCTGATTTGGTATTTCACCACACCTTTATAGAACTGACTTCCTGAATTCAAAGCAGATGAGGCATCAGAAGAGCTGTTTGGATCTAGGGATGAGCAAATTCCTCTTCTCTTTCTTTTTGCTTTATTTTTCTGGACCGATGAAGGAAAACCGGCTTTAATCAGGCACCACATTTGCCTGGTTCAAAGCAAGAACAAGGTGCCCACTTTGCACGTCACAGCTGAGAACAGCCCAGCTAAAAACGCTGTTGCCATTAAATGCTCATGGCAAAGTGATTCCTGGAGGGTTCAGTCGGTGCTGGCAGGAAGTGGGAGTCTGATTGCAAGGGGAAGTGTGACTAATTGGTCGAGGGAACAACCTGGAGTGCTTCTGGAACAGCCTTTTCCCAAGTGCCTGCTGGGAGAAGCAGCTTCAGGGAGGCCTTTGCAGCGTCAAGTGAGAGCTGTTGTGGGTGAGGTTGAGAGCTGGGATGTCCTGGGGGAAATGAGAGGTTGCAAAACTCAGTCTGCAAAAAGGCCGGGACCAAAACCTGTTGTGGGGTTTGGTTTTTGTTGCCTGGATAAGCTGCCTCTTTTGACTTCCTTAACTCTTTGTAGCGGGGGGGAACTTTGTCAGAAGAAGGGAATGATGGAGATTAGAAAGTGTTCACTGCGTGGGTGCTGCTTCTGCCTTGAAGGGTTTTATGGTGAGGATTGGGCTTGGAAGGAAGCAGAGTGTGGACAGTGCACAGGTATCAGCTGGGAAGAACTGTTTAAGGGCTGGAGATTATCAAGTCAGGGGCATTCTTTGACCATTATATGAGGGAAGGCTGAGAGAACTGGGATTGTTCAGCCTGGAAAAGAGGAGGCTGAGGGGTGACCTAATTGTGGCCTTCCAGGACCTGAAGGGAGCCTGCAAGAAACTTGGAGAGAGTCTTATTGCAAGGCCTTGGAGTGCCAGGACAAGGGGGAATGGCTTCCCACTGCCAGAGGGCAGGGTTAGATGGGATATTGGGAAGGAATCCTTCCCTGTGAGGGTGGGCAGGCCCTGGCACAGGTTGCCCAGAGAAGCTGTGGCTGCCCCTGGATCCCTGGAAGTGTCCAAGGCCAGGTTGGACAGGGCTTGGAGCCACCTGGTCTAGTGGAAGGTGTCCCTGCCTGTGGCAGGGGGTAGAACAGGATGATTTTAAGGTCCCTTCCAGCCCAAACCACGCTGTGATTCTGTGGTGGTGGTATAACTGAACAGGAAATACAAAGCCATTATTTTGTGCGAGGAAGTCTCAGAATGACTCTCTGAGCAGGGCAGGGATCCCAGGGCCGATGGCAGAGCTCAGCAGTTGTGATTTCTGTTCGTTGGCTGTGCTCAGGTGACAACCTCTGCTAAACCTCGTGCCCCAAGCCTGGTGTGAGTCTGCAGCTCTGCTCTCACAGTAGGGCATCTTATTGAAGTGAATGTGGGAATATTACTTCCAGAAATGTTTGTTCTTCGTGATAGTGCCCGTGCTGCGTTGAGAGGAGAACCAGGAGCAGCACCTGACGGTTTTTGTGCTGTCTGCACTGCTCCCTGGTGCCCTGGGAATCTCTGCTACAAGATTTAGGGAACCTTGTCTAACATCTGTTTAAAAAATGATGGTGGTGATAGGTGGGAAAGAGCAGCTTCTCCAGGAGAACATACTTGAACTACTTCCCTGTCCTTATTCTCCTGGAGTAAAAGTGAGCAGGGGTTGATTGTACCTCGTGGAATATCCCAAGATATTCCAGATCCCAGGAAAGCAAAGCTTGAAAGCTCCCTTAAGGAGTGGGTGTGATAACTGCTGAGGACATCTGAGCCAAAAACCACGGGCAGCGTAGGAGCCTTAGGAAGGTCACTGTACAAGTGCTGCAGGGAAAGGTCTTTTGTGTAATTTAGAAGCAGCTGAAGTGATAAGGAGACATAATTATCAACATTTTTTTTCATAATGGCAGGAAGTGACTTATTTTCATGGGTGCAGAATAGAGATTGGCTCAATTCAAAGTGCTCTGGCCACTCTAAGCTTCTGGCTGCTGTGAGGTGAAGCAGGTGGAACTTAAAAGTTTACAGAAATACTGGGGGGTAGGTCTTGTGCCCAAAATGCTCACAGACTCACATACAAATCTTTGCCTTGTTTTTGTTTATTGCAATCCCACAACTGGTTTGAATCAGAAAACTTACTTATTGTAATGCTGTTGTATGTGATGCAGCTTATTGTGAATGTGAGGCATTTTCTGGGAAATGAAATAATTTTTCATCTTCCTCACTTTGGCTTGAAAATATTGGTTGTAAGAGCTTTAAAACTGTTCCCTTACTCGAAGCTTTAAGCTGATTTAAAATCAGGAACGGAAACATTTGTAGGTTATATGTTCTCAAAGCAAATACTTACTTTAGAGTTGTAACAACTTTGGGCTTTGGGGCTTACTGTAATGAAACTTCCCAGCTTTTGGGGGGGAAACATTTCAGAGGGATGTTAGAAAGCAACATTTGTCTTGAGTAGGGTGATATTAGTAAACATCAGAATCCTTTGACTTAAACTGCTGTCAAAATGGAATTCCTCTAGTGGTGCTAAAAAATGAAGAGTATGTTCAAGGCACCCTCCTGCTCAACACCTCACACTCCCCACCCCAAAAAAAGCAGGAGCATGAAACCATCTTGGACGTGATCCTCAGGGTGTCTGTGGTGTTTGGTTTTAAGATACGAGAAAAATCTGCATTCTTTGCCTCATGGAGGTGGATTTGCCACTGGAGGTGGATGTTTGGAGAGCTCAGAATCATGGGATGGTTTGGGTTGGAAGGGACCTTAGAGCTCGTGTCCTTCTACCCCCTGCCATGGGCAGAGACACTTTCCATTAGCCCAGGTTGCTCCAAGCCCCGTCCAACCTGGCCTTGGACACTTCCAGGGATGGGGCAAGAATTTCTTCCCAATATCCAGTCTGATCCCACTCTGTTGTCAGTGTGAAGCCATTCCCCCTTGTCCTGTCACTTCAGGCCCTTGTCAATAGTCTCTCCCCATCTTTCCTCTCATCTCCCTTCAGGTCCTGGAAGGCCACAATTAGGTGACCTCAGAGCCTTCTCCTGTCCAGTCTGAACAATCCCAGTTCTCTCGGCCTTTCCTTGGAGCAGAAGGGCTCCATCCCCTAGGATGTACTAAAGTTACTGGAAAACCAGTGCCCTGCTTGATGCTGGAGGGTGCTTGCTGATGAATTCCCTGTCCCTTGGTGGTTCATTTGCCCTCAGGTGCATCTGGGGTGATCTGCCAGCGATGCCGATGAACGGTCCCGGTGGTTTCTGACGCTTGTTTTCCCTCTGTTTAGGGAGTGACAATTCCCAGTCAGAGACGCTACGTGTACTACTATAGCTACCTGTTAAAGAATCACCTGGATTACAGACCAGTGGCTCTGCTGTTTCACAAGATGATGTTTGAAACAATTCCCATGTTCAGCAGCGGAACTTGCAGTAAGTACCCGGCCCCCGGTGGGGGAACACCGGCCTTGAACGTGGTTGTGGCACCAAGAGCTGCCACACCTCGATGGACAAGGTCATGTTTACACACCTCACCTTCCCAGATCTGCTGGGGTTGGTGTGGTCTGTCCGCTGGGATCCTCCCAGGTGTGGGAACTCGAGGTCTGGATTGTTTTACTGCAGGTTTGAAGCTGAGCAGTGTTTAATGGTCTGAACATCAGTTCACAGTAAGGTTGGAGATAGACCTCCAAGACCATGCAGAGCCATCACCACCTTGTTGACCCATCACCACCTTATTAACCAGCCCAGAGCACTGAGTGCCACGTCCCTTGAGCACTCCCAGGGATGGTGACCCCACCATCCCATATATCTCTATTTCAATATTTGCTCCTTAACTTTTATAAAAAGCCTCTTTTTTTTTTTCTTTCTTTATTTTTTTTTTAATTTTTTTTTTATTTTTTAAACGCAGCAACTCTTGGGAAACATGAATCGCTGCAAAACATTTGCTTAATGGCGTGTTGGCTTCAGTTGCAGCAACATCATTCTTCCCATGATGTTTTTAAAAAAAAAAAATAAATGAATCAGTTCAACTGGGTAAATATCTAATTAACTCTGGAATAAACTTTTCTTGATGTGGAGGCTTCTAAAGGCTGGGATACACCTGTGAATGATTAATCTGATCTGCTGGTACGCCGTGTTAGGAAGGAACAGCAGATTTCTTGAAGCTTTGTAATATAAATACAAAACTCTCTGCTGTCCTGTGGGCTGCGTGACAGGGCAGGGACCGCCTAGTGCTGCGTGTTCATTTTTTTTTTTTTTCTTTTTGGTGGTGGAAAAAATCTTTCTAATGGTTTTGCTATGGGGAATTACAGCAATGTGTAATTAATTCCAGCGCCTCCCGTGGCTTTGATTAAAACGGGCCCCGTTAATGTTGTTGTGAGGCACCACCTGAGCACGTAACGCGCATCAGAAACAATCGAGCGACTTGTCAGGCTGGGCTGAGGAGGGGGAGGAGGAGGAAGGGAGGAGCCTCTGCCAAAAAAACCTCTGCCTCTAGGGGAGAGGTGTGGAGGTTCCAGATTTCTGCAATTACCACTTATTTAATGTTTTGGATAAGCTGTGCTGTACTTGCCAAGTGAAGCTGCGGGCCCAAATCGCTCGTGTGAGCGTTCACTTGGGTGTCCACGGCAGGCCCTTGGTGGGCGGTTTTCATGGGACAAACAACAGGTTTGCCAAGCACCTGAGGAGACAGATGAACTGTCAACTTCAACATCTTTCTGTGTTGCGAGATTTTAGGTTTCTCTGGAGTTTTCAGTGATCTTTCAGAACGTGAAAGCCGTGGGCTGGGTTGTTTCTTTAGTTGCGTTATCGACTGCGAGGGGCGGAATTTTACGTTGAACTTCCTGGTTCTCTGACTTCCTGGTTATCCTTCTGCTGTTCTGAAGTCACTGACCAAGAAGGGTTGTGCCTCTCAGGCAAGGTGAAAGGGTGACAGGGTTTCACAGCTCTGAGGATTTGAGGGAGATAAGGGGAGAGACCTGGGGCTGTTCAAGCCTGGAGAAGAGAATGTTGTGTGGAGACCTCACAGCACCTTCCAGGATCTGCAGGGGCTACAGGGAAGCCAGAGGAAGACTCTTATAAGGAACTGTGGTGGTGGTAGGACAAGGGGGAATTGCTTGACACCGGCAGAGGGGAAATTTAGGTTGGGTATATGGATGAAATTGTTCCCTGTGAGGGTGGGCAGGCCCTGGCACAGGTTACCCAGAGAAGCTGTGGCTGCCCCATCCCTGGAAGTGTCCAAGGCCAAGCTGGACGGGGCTTGGAGCAACCTGGGCTAGAGGAAGGTGTCCCTGCCCATGGCAGGGGGTGGCACTGGATGAGCTTTAATGTCCCTTCCAGCCCAAACCATTCTGTGACTCTGAGTCTGTCACAGTTTCATAGCTGGGATAGTGTGGATGTGCTCCACAGGGATTCCCACAGCTCTGCAGGGGTGTCTGGCAGTTTCCAAAGAAACTCTGCTTGGACTGCACCAGAAGCCTCTCCTAATGTCACTGTTGATTGAATTTGGAAGTTATGCTGTGGCACTGCTTTGGTGATGGTGATATATCCAGGCCCAGCTTGGTGCTGGTTGGTTTTGTGTATTAGTGTTCAATTTTATCCTTGGTTTTGTTTGTGTAAGAGCAGAAATCAGTTTGTGCTGACATGACCACCCACTCTACAATTGGAAGAAGAGATGAGAGAGAACAAAACCCCTCAGTCAGATCCATATGATACAGAGAGGAGGAGCAACACACAAGGAACATCAAGTAGCTGTCACTTCATGTAGTTACTTCTTACTATATAGTAAACAACAACTTTCTAGGAGCTCTGCTTGCCTGAAAGTATTGCCATGAAGGACAGAAATCTGTTGTTTGCAGTAGCCTTTAGGAATGTTTAATGGCCCGTGGTGCTTAACACTCTAAAAGATATTTACTTTACTTTGAAAGTATCACGATTCTGCTGCTAATATTGTGCTTTCTGACACAATTCTGAGGCATTTCTTACCAACTGACACTCTGTTTTGCCACGCAGATCCTCAGTTTGTGGTGTACCAGCTCAAGGTAAAGATTTTCACCTCCCCTTCAGGACCCTCGAGACGTGAAGACAAGTACATGTACTTTGAATTCCCTCAACCTCTACCAGTGTGCGGTGATATCAAAGTGGAATTCTTCCACAAACAGAACAAGATGTTGAAAAAGGTTGGTTTCCTTGTTTTGTTTTGGGTTTTTTTTCTGGAAAATGGTGTTGAGCCTGCTGCAGGGGCTGGGACTCTGGTTGTTCTTCAGGGCTGTGCAATCACAGTGTTTCATTCTTTGATGTCCGGTTTTCCCAAGGAGCGGATCCCACCACAAAGTGAACGCTGGGTTTTTTGGAGAGTTGGTGAGATTGAGTACAGAGGTTGGATAAAAATGATCCTGGATGTGTGTTGCAGTCGTTTGGGTAGTAGTGAGTAATCTAATTGAGGAAGAAACATTCTCAGCCTAAAAATAGACTTGCATACTGAGCAAGTTAACTCCAGCTGTTTTCTTCACTAAATTTTCCTAAGGTTTTGAGCAGGCACAGAAGATCCTGTCTGTGCTGTTGGCTGATTCCAACCCATCTGTCAAATGCAGTTGAATCTGTGAGATAATTAAGTTCCTACGCACTTGGTAAAAGTATCTGCAGTCTCTTCAACCACCTCTCTGTTCCCAGCTGCAGTGCCTCGACTTTAGAGGTTTAGAAATTCACTCAACACTGAGGATTTTATCAGCTGTGGAAAGAAATTCATCTAGAACTTATTTTGAAACCAGGTTCTTAAGGCTGAATGGCTCATCTCTGAGGTTCATCACTCCTGGGGCTTGTGGAACGGGTTTGCATCTAGCAAAGTGAAAGCTGAGGATGAGGATGTTGATTAAGGGCTGCCTTTGTGTTTGCTGCTTCAGATTCCTCATCAGTTGTTACTCACGGTTTAATGGAGGTTCTAAAACTTGAGAGCACCCAGTGAGTGTGTTCTGTGTACAGGCAGGGCCTAAAAATGAGAAATGCTGGAGTTGGGAGATAAAACATAGGTGATAAGTCTCTTAAAACTGAGCATGCAGGTTGTACCTGCTAGCTGTGTGTAAATACACGTGCACACCGGGCTGGGGGCTTGTTCAGGTACCAGGTGTTGTCAATGAGTTTCATCTACATGCTGATGTCTGCAGAAGTGTTTAAACTGTTTCTTAGTGGGACTGCCTTGTGTCTGATGAGATGTTCTGGTTGGTCAGTGCAGCACAGTGTCTGTAAAACAGAGCATTTTGAAAGCAGAAATTCTGCTCTCAGGTCAGCATTAAGGTTTATTGGCATTTCAAACAGTAAATCTTTTGAGAGCAGGAGCACCCAGACCAGTGCTGTGGGCTAGACACGAGGGAGGCAGGGAGGAGATGATACAAAACCCAAACATCTGAGGCAAGGCCCTGGTTTATCTGCTCTCTGTCCTATCTGGAGTGTGGATTTGCTGTTCCTTTACCATCTCCAGTAGCACTTGGAGTTTCTGAGGAAGTGGTTGATGGTTTGGTTTTGTTGTTTTTTGGGGGTTTTTTGTGTATTCTTATCAAGCACCAGAACTCTTTGGGTTCTGTGGATTACAGGTAGTGCAGAGATGCTCCTTTTCTCAGTGTTTTTGGCCTGTTAGGGCCAAGAAGTGGTGAAAGCTCTACTTTTCACACCTGCAGGCTTTTCTGAGATAGAAACCCTTCACCAGACAGTAAAGAAACCACCCTGCCAATCAAATACCTGTTGAATTGAGTGTCTGATTGCCTCAGCTTTCAGTACCAATGCAGGCTGGAAGGAAGTAGGTTTGAGCTGTTGCCCAGTTCTGGTGAGATCACCTCTCTCAGCTCTGCTGGAAACACAGACAGGAGCAGATCCCTCCACGTGGTCCCTTTGACAGCTTGTTCCATAAAAAAGGTGGGAACAGGGCGAAGGTGAATATTTGTGACAGAAAAACCTACCTTGGCTCCGAGTTGGCACATTTCTCTGTCCAGGTGTTGCACATCTCTGCCTGCTCCTCTTCTGGATCAACTGACTTGGCAGCTTTTACTCAAAACCCCAAAAGTGAGGGGGATTTCCAGTGGGGAGACCTGTGTTCCAAACATCACCTCCATGCAGGGATCCCCTGATTCATGAGGGATTCATCCCCTGTATAATCAGGAGCAACAGGATCTTCCCTTCCAGAGATTCTGGTCTAGTCACCAGCTTTATGAAAGGTGGAATTACAACTCTGTTGCCTGTCTCTGGTTCTTGTCCTTCCAAGGTTTTCTGTTAGCAGATTTATAGGTAGCTGTGCAAGTCTTGAAAGACATCACATATTTACCAGTCTGCATTTTTAACTTTAATCTAATAAAAAAATTATAATAAGATCAATTAAAAGTGTAATTCCTGATCAGGCTGGAGAGAAGCAAAACTTCTGTGTCCTCTTGCTGGGTCTGGGTTGGTGTTTGACAACACTGACCTCAGCTGAAGGTGCCCCAGATTCCCTCAGCATTGCTTGCTTCCAAATTCCTTAATCCTTTGAAGAGCAGTAGCATTACCTGCAGAGCTCTCCAGTAGGAAGGGTCCTCCTCCTCACGTTTGATCAAGCTCTTTTTGGGTAAATTATTATGCACAAACCAAATCAAAGTGCAACAACCAAGGGACTTTAAGCACCTCGTGTTGCAGACCCAGTGTGACCCTTAAAACAGCCACATGTCCTGCCTTTTAATGACAGAAGTTAATGTTGGTGGCTGTTGAGAGCTGACCTCAGCCAAAGGATTGTTGGTAAGGGGGTGCCTGCTTTGGAAAAGTTTCCCAGCTCTTCCACAGTCTGTGCCACCTGGCATCAGTTAGGAAGTCCAGAGCTTTTGGTCTTTTCTTGTCTAATCAAGTTGTTTACTTTACCCTCAGCCCATTTCTTCAGTGTGATGGAGCTGCTTCCTTTCAAGAATGAAATGCATGCCCACATGAGAACAAAATGGCTTGAGGCTCGAAGTACAGTTATTATGGATGAATTTCTGATGGATACAAGTTAGCAATCTAAGGGATTATTTTTTTTTTTATTTTGGAGCGTGGCTTTTTGTTGTTCTGCCTTGTAGCTTGACTGTTCTTCCATCTCAGACTGCTGCCAGAGTCTCTCTAGGTTTGCTTCCACATATCTGTGCAGAGCCTTTTTTCTTCCAGTTATCGATGCTGACATGATAATTTTTAAGTATTTTGGAATACGCTCAGATTGCTCGGTTCAACGAGAGCCTGTTCAAAAATAATGCAGAAGATCTCCTCATCTTCCTGCCTCCAGAGCCTGGGGGTGAAGGAGACCTTTCTCAGGAGTCCTCCCAGTACGGATGAGAGGGAGCTGTGGCTGTGGGTTTAATTTGTAAGAGTCGGTGGTGTTTGAGTCCCAGGCTCCAGCGTGGGCAGGGCTGACAGCGCTGTTAGAGCGGTTGCATTTCATCTCCCCGGTCTGCAGATGAGAAGTTCGGCTGCACAGCTCAAGTTTGGGCAGTCGCTGTTTGGCAAACGCTGAAGAGTGAACTCTGAAAATGTCAGAAGACTTTGAACTGTTGATCTGAAAACGGTACAAGAAGTTCCCTCGGCCATGACTGGGGGAAGGCTGAGGCCAGCGTGGAACAGGCTGAAACAGGATCTCCTTGTCTTGGACAGCATCTCCAAACCCCTCCGTTTGCTGCAGAGTGATTGGAAGGGCCTGTAGATCTCTCTGCAGAGTTAAAACTCTCAGGAGGAGAGAGGAACTCCTGACTGCTGGCTTAAATAAATGGGCTTGGATTTGGATCTCAGCCTGCAGTTAGAGGCAGGTACCAGCTCGAGAGGGAGGAATGTTTTTCTGTCAGTGAGAACTGAGGAGCTGCACGAGGTAGGAGTAGTCCTGTGTGTCAGAACAGGGGGATTGAATCAGCTGCTTTTTTTTTTTTTTTGTAGATTTTATGGTACAGAAGAAGTACAGCTGTGATTTTTTTTTTAAGACAGATGTCTGTGATGTAACTGGAAGTGAAGCAAAACACATTGAGAAACAGTCTCTAATACTCCTTTTCAGAAACCTATTCATTAAACTGTCTTATGTGAGCACTTGGTCTTGGTATTTTGATTTGCTATATAAAGCCCAAATTCAGTTCATGCCTTGATTTTTAAAATTCCTATCTTTGGCCCATATTACATCATCTTTCTCCGTTGTCTTGCATGAAATATCTTGGAATCTGATGCTTTAGCTGAATCCTCACTTTGAATAACAAGGTTTATTCTTCAGTGCAAACAGTGACACTGTTATCACCCATAGGAGCTAATTCCAAAAATCCTAACCAAGTCTTCCCTCCATTTGAGTGGCCATGCCATGTTCCAGGACCCATGAACTCACTTTATTGAGCTAATTAAGTTACTGTAGTGGGAAAGAAAGGAAAATAACTCAATGCTTTACAAAGCTGGAGGGAGATAAAAGGAAAAATGACCAGCTCAGCTGAGTTGCATTGTTTAGTTTGAGTCCCTGAAGACCTCTGGAAATTTATCCCAAGGAAAACAGATTAAAAGCTGTCTAGCAAGAAGTTTGTCAACTGTCTTGTCCTCTCCAGCCTCTGTCAGTGGAGCTGAGTCCCTGCAGTTGCTTGTTCAGGCAGGCCCTCCAATGCCGAGTAAATCCTTCCTGGTTCTGCCCCACGTGCTGGAGTTGAAGGTGAGGCACGACAAGCCCGTGCCTTCTGCTGGCATTGCTTCACATCCAGTGGCCTGGTTTTCTCTTGGCACTGCTTTCTCCCACTGGTTAAAGCCGTTTTTCCCCCCATGTGCTGCACGCCGGGGGTGACACGGGTGGCGCTGAGGACCCGCGCCGGTGGCAAAAGCGTTCCCAAAAAAGGGGCTTCCAAAACAGCTGTAATTTTACAGCAGGTTCATTTGGCAGATCAGCCTGATTCCCAAAGGTGCTGGAGAGGCTTGTGGTGTAGTGGGTAACTTCTTAACTTCCAGAAGTCTTTCTGCCTGAATTATTTGACTTCTGTCTCTGCCACTGCCCGTGGTTACAGGTTGGGAGTCTCTGAGGTGCTCACAGAAATGCACGCAGGCTGGAAGGCTTTTTGTGGGCTTTACCTAAAACACTGCAAGTGGCTCTGCTGGCCTTTGGTAGGGAAGGCAGGCAGGTAGAATTTGTTTGATCAGACGCTTCTGAATTCCCAGGATATGTGTACTTGTTTGTATTAATTGCTGAGGAAGATGAACATGAGGGAAGGTTCTGGAACGGACCAGCAGATGTAACAGGGGATGCAGAAATACTGACCATGGTGGGGAGAGAGGTCATTTGCATTTGGATCTTTTGCATGAAAACTCAAATCAGAGTCAAATGGAAGATTTCATTTGTGAAGAGCAAGTAAATCCAGCTCAGTTTCAGAAGGAGAGACAAGGACCAACCTGTCAATGATCTTGGAAATGTCAACTCTGAACTGGCAGAAGATGGAGAGCTGAACCAAGGGTATTCATTCAGAGCATCCTGTGGAGCTGCTGAGGTGAAGCTCCTGGGCATATCACCCTCAGAGCTTGCTGTGACCACTATCAGCTGGTTCTCCAGCCTTTAGAATCCCTGAGACACCGATGTTTTACCTCAGAGCTTTCTGTTAGGGGAGTAGATTGTTCTGTGTTATCAATATTTAACTCACCTGAGCTGGCTGGCTCAGGTTTGTCTGTTGGGTTTGGCAATTGCCTGGCGAGGCGTGAAGCAAACAAAATCTGTTTATGCCTTGGGATTGCAAGTTTAAGACTTACTTAATTTCTTGTCATCTGCTTTTGTTGTAGGTGTGATAGTTGTAAACTCCAGCTTTCGATAAGGAGCAACTTCTGAAAGCTTGAGTGGTTAAAAACGAGCTTGATTAATGTAGAGTTTTCTGTGTTGAGCAGGAGATTTGGTGACAATGCCTTTGCATGCAATGTAACCAGTGATGTACTGTTGTCCAAACAAGTTTTGTCTGTTGTTACCTATTTGTTTCTGACCAGATGATGATGATGATGATATAGTCTAACAAATGTGCCACTATAGTGAATACTAAAGCAAGCTTGTTTTTTTGTGTTCTTCCTCCCCCAGGACAAAATGTTTCACTTTTGGGTAAATACATTCTTCATAGGACTGGATGAAAATTCAGACAAAGTAGAAAATGGAAGTCTAGTTGCAGATCAGGAACTTGATGGTATTTTCAGTACAGAGCGCTCAGATAATGATAAGGAATATTTAATCCTTACGTTAACAAAAAACGATCTAGACAAAGCAAATAAAGACAAAGCCAACAGATATTTCTCTCCAAACTTCAAGGTCAGTATATACGTTCTGTGTGAACAAAGCTGAAAACCTGCATGAGTTGCCCTTTTGGTTTGTCTGTCTCGCCTCGTGGAGGGACCGTGTGAATCTGCTGCGTAGAGATCGAGTCCCTGTGCTGGTGTTGCCACCACCACTTAGCAGCTGAGTTCTTTGCTTTGGAGGTTTATCTGCTTTTTTTGGGAAGCTGAGAGATGTTGAGAACTGGGGATTAAAGCCTTCAGGTTGTTTCAGGTATTTCTCAAAGCCATCAGAGACGAGTAGTAGGAGAGCCAGTGAGAGCCAGGTGGCATCTCCCCTGTAGCAGCTGCGTTGCACGAGCTCTGAGCTTGGCACACTTAATGCCTGACTTCATTTGTCTGTGGTGGTTCCAGACTCTTTTTGGTGGTACCCAGTGACAGGATGAGGAGCAAGGTCCATAAACTAAAACACAAGAGGTTCCACCTCAACACGAGGGGAGAATTCATTGTGTTGAAGGGTGGCAGAGCACTGGAACAGCTGCCCAGGGGGATCGTGGAGTCTCCCCCTCTGGAGACATTCCAAACCCACCTGGACATGTTCCTGTGCCACCTGCTCCCCTGGGTGATCTCCAGAGGTCCCTTCCAACCCCAGCTGTTCTGTGAGTCTGGGGAATGCCTTAACCTGGCAGTTAAGCTTTGAGGAACACGAAAATCCATTGCCAGCAGCATTTGAAACATTTTGTAAGGCATTTTGTAAGAACTTGAGCATTTTCTGCCTGGCTCATAAAATATCAGCCAGACCCCAGCAGTGCTGGTTTGGAAGGTAATGGGTCAGAGCTGCTCGTTGGAACGTTGGCGTGGGAAAAGTCTGATCCAAGCAACTCACCCATCAGAGCGGGGTTTATTCATTCCTGTGCGGTCTCCCCGCAATTCCAGAGCTCTGGAAGGTAGGAGGGTTGAAAAGCTTGGTCCTGCTGCTACAACTCATGCAGCACCAGTGAGTGCTGCAGGCAGGCCCAGCTCCTGCTCTGGGCTGGAAAACCTGTCCCTGAAGAGAGAGAGGAACACTCGTGTGATTCAGTGTTGCTGTTAAAACATTGCTTTGTTACCTGTGCTCTCTCCAAGTCCAGGTTTCCTTTTTTTAAATGTTGTTTTTTCCTTCCCCAGGTGAAGCTATTTTTCACAAAAACAGTAGAAGAGCCATCAAACCCAGAGGCTAGCAGTTCAACTTCTGTAACACCAGATGTTAGTGACAATGAACCTGATCATTATAGATACTCTGACACCACTGACTCTGATCCAGAGAATGAACCTTTTGATGAAGATCAGCATACGCAGATTACAAAAGTCTGAATATTTTTTTTATCGGAGATAAAAGAAAAAAAAAACATACATAAAAAAAAAAATAAACCACCTACCATGAAGAGAGATAAACTTGAATAAACTGAAAAGGAAAAAGAAAAAAAAAAAAAGGACCTTTCTAAATGGCAAAAGGACATAGTGTCAGATTACCAGTTATAGGAACAATTCTTTCCTGACCAATCTTGTTTTGCCCTATAAATCTACAGGGTTTGACACTTGTCCAGTCGGGGGGAAAAAAAAAAAAAAGGAAGGTTACCTAGCTCTTATATGTATATACCTTTTTGTGTCAAAAGGACATTAAAACTTCAATTAGGAACTATAAACATGGCACTTTCCCATTTTATTCCAGTTTTATAAAAGTGGAGACAGACCTAATGTGTATGCGTAGGAATTCTTCCTTTTTGTGTTCTGTCACCAACCGAAGTCTCAAAACCGAAAAACAAACAAAAAAAAAACCCACCAACCAACGACGAAACCAATTCACAGGTTCACACATCCTGGCCCCTTTTTTTTGCACTTGGTGTGGCAACGGGGAAGTCTGCAGTTGGCTAAGAGATGTTTTCTGGAAGGTTTTTCCTCCATTCTGATGCGTGTCTTTTGGCTGGGGGATGGAAAGGAATGCTCGGGAAGGAGCGTGGCCTCTGTACCATGTCCGGCTGTTCCATTGCCCTGATCCATCCGGGACAACAGACGAGGAGTCGCCGCTGTCGCTGCTTTGTCGTTTGTGCATTTTTAAATTTCTTTTTATTTTTTTCTTTCTTTTTTTTCTCTGTTTTTTTTTTCTTTGTTTTTTCCTCAGTGTAATGGTGCTAGAAAAGGCAGCTAGAGGGGAGTGATTCTGTACCTGGGAGGGTGTTTGGGGCGGGGGGACAGGAGTGAACCTTCCCGACACCCGCGCCACCGAAGGGAGATGAGAAATTCTTGGGGTCACACAAAAATAAAATAAAATTTAACAAAAAAAAATTTGTTAAAAAAAAAAAAAAGGAAACACACAGCAACAATGACTTAACCATACAAATGTGGAGGCTATCAACGAAAATAGGAGCTTGAAAACAAATGGTTACAAAATTTATCGGGTTGTTTTGTTGTTTTTGTTGGTTTTGGGTTGGTTTTTTTTCCTGAATTGTAATGGCTGCTCCATCTCCTGTGTAATCAAGGCCAGTGCTAAAAGTCAGATGCTCTTAGTGCAGACATCAGTCAACATCTTACATTTATATTAGTAGTTTTTCAATCATATTCCTGCTGTGAATACTTCATGTGCTGCCTTGCAAGCTTGTTTTTTCTTTTTTTTTCCTTTTTTTTTTTTTTTCCTTCTCCTCCTCATGAATATAAAAATATTTTGTAATGGTGCACAGGAAATGTCATTGGAGATTCTCCAGGTTAGTGTGTTTTGTTTTGTAGGTTTCTGATGCATTTATTCAATCAAACCTCTGTCAGCCGTTCCACCCCTTTGACCTTACACATTCTAATACAATGAGTTTTGCAGTTTTGCACACTTTTTAAAAAAAAAAAAAAAGAAAAAAAAAGAAAAAAAAGAAATAAGAAGTCAGTAACTGTTAGGGAATTTTACTTGAATGCTCAGTACCTACAATGTTTGAAAAACAGACCTTACACCCGATAGAGAGGAAACCGGTGTTGCAGTAAATTCTCAGCACTGCAAATGAAGATTAAAAAGCAGAACTTGTCCCAAATAAATTGCTTGCTATCAAAAAAAAAAAAAAAAAAAACACCAAACCCACAAACCACCCAACAAATTAGTTTTCTACACTAACTGACTGTGTTGTGTTACTTGTTTGTAGGGATAGAGCCAAGGGTAGGGCTTGAGGTTCCCTTTTGGTGTGTAAATTGTCATGCCCAGACTGCAGATGACTTCAGAGTACAACTGCTGTTGCATCCGAAGGTGGAGCAGCTGCCCAAATTGTCCCTTCTAAAGTACATTGTGAAGAGCTGACCCCAAATGGATGCTTTTTTTAGGATATAACACACACACACACACACATGCCCCCCATTGACTAACTGGTGCTGACAGTGAAGTTCACGAGCTGTGTTCTCACCTGGAATTACGTATGGAATCTGTACAACAGCATTAATGGTTGCAATTAGAACGAGACGAGGCAGGACTTCCAGTAATTACTATTGGTAAAGGAAGGTATAAAGGGCTTTTCTCTTTTTTTTTTTTTTTTTTTCTTGTCTGGTATCTGTCGGTCAGTTTTTTTGCCCATCAGATTCGTGGTTCTAACTTCTAACAAAGCTGGTCAATGCTTCCTGACTTTAAGAGGTTGAATTAGACTTTATTAGCTTGAATGGATCAAGATTGCTGGTTCCAGCACTCGTTATTCCCAGTGTGAATGACAAGCAGGAGGTGGTTCCCTTGGGACACGAATATTGAACTCTTTACCCTTCCGATCACGTTTCACCTTGTCCGGTTTATAACAGTTGAAAGTTGTGTTGGCTTAATAATAAACAAAAAAAACTGTCGATGCTTTAAAAAGTATTTGGATGTTGGCACTGCTGCGTGTCCCGCTTCGGATAACAAAGGTGGGATCGGTGTGGTTCCAGCCTGGAACGCTGAGGGATCTCGGGAATCATGGCGCGATGGATGGGCTTTTGCACTGTTATTTTTCCTTTGGAATGTGAAGGTTGGAATGAGGGTTTTGATTTTTTGTTTTGTTTTGTTTTCCTTTTTTTTTGTTTTCCTTTTTTTTTCCTTTTTTTTTTTTTTTTTAATGTTTCGATGTCTTTGAGAAGCCTTGCTTACATTTTATGGTGTAGTCATTGGAAATGGAAAAATGGCATTATATATATATATATTATATATATAAATATATATTATACATACTCTCCTATACTTTATTTCAGTTACCACCCCCATAGAAGTTGACAAGAATTACTATGACTGAAAGGTTTTTTGAGTCCTTATTAAAACTTTATTTATGACAGTATTCATAATTAGCTTGAGCTGCATTCTGTAGGTAATCTTTCCCTTGAGTTTCTGGACTTGTACGCTTCGACCTTTTGGGCTGTGCAACAGCTCACGTGTCTGAAACTACTTGAAGGCATCACCTTTGGTAAGAGCTTACTGTTAAGGCCCCGAAAGCATCCCCTGCTCATTTGGCAGCCCCAACTCCAAACTTTTGTCACAGCTGCTGAAGGGGCAGCTGTAGAATTCAGATTTAAAACCCCCCCGCCCCCGTGGCACACGTCCTAAACCAAGGTGGAGTTTACACTCAGCATCATTCCAAAAAAAAAACACCACCCCCCCCCAAAAAAAAAAAAACCAACAAAAACCCCCTTTGTAACGATCAAAAAAAAAAACCAAACCAAAACGGGATGCTGGTGTGCGAGTTCCACGTTTAGTCCTAGCAAATGTGTGCAATACGTTAACGATGCCTGTGGTTGCCACGAAGTGCCTCGTTTACCTTGGGAATAAAAAAAAAAATGCTGTTAGGAAGTGTGGTGCATGCAGATGGTGGGGTGGGACTGTGCACTAAAAGGGGCTCTCCGACTGCAGCGTTTGGCAGAGCTGCCTCTCTCTCTCTCTCTCTGCCCGTTCCGATTTCCAGTCTCGTTTTTTTTCATATAGCATATATATATATAGATACTAAAAGAAAAACGAAAAAGAAAAAAAAAAAATCAGTCTGTTAAGCAGCCTTACTCTGATTCAGCCTCTTCAAATACTATTGTGCTGTGCAACAGTGGCTCTGTGTGTAACTGAGAATACACAAAAAAAAAAAAAAACCAAGTATGACATGTACAGGATAATGCCTCATACAAATCAGATGTCCGTTTGTTATTGTGTTTAACAACCCTTTATCTCTTAGTGTTAAAAAACTCCACTTAAAACTGATTAAAGTCTCATTCTTGTCACTGCGTGGGTGTTTTATTGAAGTGCTCTGAGGGTGGGGAACAGGCAGCTGGAATGTTGTGTGCCGGTGGGAGCCGAGGGTGCTCCTTGTGCCTCCAGGGATTTGAAGGGAACTGCAGCTCAAAACCCTTCCTTTTGTGTTCTGAGGCTTTAACGAAGAGCAGGCAGATTGGGGTGCAGGGATATCAAACCCTTCCAGTGCCTAAAGGGAGCTGACAAAAACCATGGAGAGAGATTTCCAAGGGGCCTGGAGTGACAGGACAAGGGGCAACGGCTTCCCGCTGCCAGAGGGCAGGGTCAGATGGGATATTGGGAAGAAATCCTTCCCTGTGAGGGTGGGAAAGCCCTGGCACAGGTTGCCCAGAGAAGCTGTGGCTGCCCTTGGATCCCTGGAAGTGTTCAAAGAGAGATGAGTTTTTCCCTGTGGAATCACAGGGTCGTTAAGGTTGGAAAAGCCCTTTGAGCTCCTCGAGTCCGTGCTCAGCAAACGAATCGAGTGTGTAATTTGGGGGTTCTTCTGGTTGCTGTTTTCCAACTAGACTTTAAACTGGCACTTAAATCATAGTGTTGGTGTTGCCCTGTTGTGTGGGGTTACCCCCAGAGCCTCTAGGAATGTGAGACCCGTGGCGAGGAACCGGGGAGTTCTTCTGCACCCACGGGCGACTTTGGGTGACTCTGGCTATTCCTCCTGCCTTCCCACTGGTGTTAAAGCCAACCCTGTATCCCACTTGGCTGTGCAGCTCCTAAAAAACACACAGATTTGAGTGGAAGTTTGGTGCTGTGGCCGGTTCTGCTCTTTGGTGGTTTTGAGAAATGGCAGTTTTGGTGCTGGGGGGGTGAGGAAGGTGGAGGGTTTGGCAGGTGAGTGGCACAGGTGACACCATCTTATTTAAGCAGGTCCCTCTGGCATCTGCAGCTCGCTTTATTCAGGTCCCTTTTTAGGCAGCCGAGGAGGTTGGTTAATAATTAATTGCAATCTTTTTTTTTTTTAAAAAAAAAAAAAAAAAAGCTGCAGCCAGAGTTCCAATTTCCACTCCTCCGAGCAGGAGTTATGTTGGTAGCAGACTTTTAAACCTCTCCTGGATATGAACTGCTTGCTACGACCTCTTTGGCTTCTTCTCCACCATATTCTTTGGCATCTTCTCCAACCCCATTTTTCCTCATCTGTCCTTGGTCATTCTGTTCCTTTTTTTTTGCCTTACAATCCTGTGCTGGGCAGATGAGAAAATCCATTTATTTTGAACTGATGGTCGTCATAGAATAAAACCTCGCACTTGGGGGTTTTTTTGCCTTTTACTGCCTGTGCTTTGAGACTTTTTCTTGTTGGGCTTTTTTTATATATATATATAGTGTTCCTTTATTTTTCCTTGTGTTTCTTCTCATTTTCTGTTTTCCTTCCACACCTTCAAACTTTTTAGCCACTGCTCTCTCCATTGCAAAATAGGACAGATAATTATTTTCTGCCTGCTTCTTATTTCTTTCTTTTTTTTTTTTTTCTATACCGAGCTTTAGTCTGAAAGAGAAAAGCTTTTGGGTTGCTTTTTTTTTTTTTTTTTTTTTTTTTTTAAATAATAGCTCTGAAAACATCAGGGATGTGCAACTTCAGCAGATGTGTTTGCCTTGGTGAGCTGCTGATGTGCTGGGGGAGTTTTATCCAGCCTAATGGGAACTGATGAGCACACTGGCTTGACTTGTGATGAGCAACCTGAATAAAAACAACAACAAAAAATAAAAATAAAACCAAAAAACTTGTTAATTAACTGCTGGGCTACGGGTTTCCAGCTGCAAATGTTTCTCTCTGGGCTGTGCTAGTGTAGAAAAATAGCTTAGCGAGGTGTATTTTTACTTTTTGAGGGCTCGTGGGCTTGGTAACTTCGCCGTCCCATCGCTAAGATGATGTGAAAAAGGTGGCACTTTGCATCCTTTGTTCGTGGAGGAGTTTTTAAGCTGTTAAAAGGGGATATTTTAGAGGCTGAAGCTCATCCTTTAAAGTGCCCTTTGCGGCACTCAGGCTGCTCAAGGCTCGACTTTTCTTTTTTGGCCTTCGGTGAAGCGGTTTGTGGTGGTGGTGGTGATGTCATGCGGGGTTCGGAAGATGAGGAGGCTGAAAGCAGCTGGGAAATGCCGGATTGAGGAATTTTAGGGGGACACACAGAGAGATCGGGGCTGCCCCGTCCTCCAGAAGGTTTGGGGTTTTTTTTGCTGCAGAAGAAAACGGGAAGGATCCTGTAATGGAAACCTGGGCACGAATGAAGCATCCGAAGTGGAAATTAATGAGGTTCGAGGCTGAGGCGGCAAAGCCTTTTAACGCAGAGCAGGGTTTGGTAACGGGAGAGAGAGAGAAACCTCGTGGGTGGAGGCGTGGAACTTGTGAGAAGAGGGGTGATGGCACATGTTTAGAGACGGATTTGCTGAGGTTTTGCAGGGAGGGGAGAAGAACAGCTGATGAGAGGTGGCTGGGAGGCATCTGGAGGGCTGAGTTTAGGGCGGCAGATGCGCTCCAGAGGTTGGCTTGGGGGGATCCTTGGCTTTGAGAGTGTTTGAAAGTATGGAAACGGGAGGGCTGGGAGCTGCGGGCCGGAGTCAGGGCTGCAAGCACCTTAGGAAAACGTCGGGATTTGCGTTGGAGGCTGGTGAGGGGCTCGTGGAAACGTCACCCAGCAGGGAAAGTGGACTGATAACATCCACTCCCCGGCAAAAAGGGGAGTTATTTCACCTTCCCTGAGCATCAGCGCTTGGGAAGGACGCGGCTTTTTCACGGCTCTTCCTGAAATCTGGATGGACAGTGAAGTATACACGGTGGGTTTTTTTGAGAATCTCAGGGTTCAGCGTTGCTCAGATCTGACTTAACAGGTGGGCTGCTGGTGCAAAGCAACCTGCAGCTGAGGGCTGAGGATCTGATGGCTTCTGGGATGAACTGCAGCCCTGCTGGGAGGGGAAAGAGCTGGAAGCAGCTGGGAACCACTGAACTGAGAAATACGGGCTAATAATAAAAAGCAAAATGGGGAGGGGCTTCTGCCAGGCTGGGGTTATTTTTACCCCAGGTTGCCCGACCTCTTGGCTCTCAGTTTAGCTGTTGTGCTGAAGGGAAGGAAGAGCTTCGTACAAGAGCTCCCAGCTCGTGTATTTGTGCCTTGCTTTAGGAACCTGGAAGCCTCTGGGATGAATTCCTCACCTCTTCCCATGGAGCACGGAGGGGGGGGTGGGGCAACTGGTGCTGTACAGGTTGCTTTCCTTGAGGGAAAAGGATTTCTTGACATGCTTTGAGCTTCCTCTCACCGTTTGACTTCTGATGGCACCTCAGGGTGAAGCCCAAAAACCCTTTTCTGGTTGGATCTGTGCTGCAGCTCTCCAGGGAATTGCCCTGGATTTCCCTGAGGGTGGAAGTAAAAAAGGAAGATGCTGCAAGGAACACGCTTTGCCTCCTTCATCTCCACAGCTCCAGGGGAGTAAGAACAGACCTGCCCAACTCTTATGCTCACGTAGGATAAAACTCTGCCTGTTTGATAAAAAACCTGAGCTTTGGCAAAATATCTCTTGGCCAATATCTGGAAGGTCCCAGCTCGTGACCAGGAGCTTAGCTGGGGTTGCTTGCTCAAGCTGTGTGCTCAGCAGAGATTTTCCCTCTCCCTTCATCCTCATCCCTCTTCTTCCCTGTCCTCGGAGCCAAAAAAACTCTGGAGCGGGACATTTTGATTACTTTGGTTGGGAGCAGTGCAACAGCAGGAACTCCAGGCTCCTCTGGGAAGGCAGGACTTGTTTTGTAAGGATCTGACACATTTCACAACACCAGCAGACAGATGGGTGAACACAATCTTGTGCACGTGCACCCCCTGGGGTGGATATTCCCTTGGGTCTTGCCAGAGGAGGTGGGAAGAGGTGGCATGAGGAGGTGGATGTGCCCTGGAGTCACTTCCACTGGGCTATTGATGCTCTCAGGCACAGGGTGTGACCCTTGGGGATGGTCCTGGGCAGGGCTAAGGCCTGGACTCCTTGTGGGTCCCTTCCAACTCAGCATATCCCCTGATTCTGTGAAGAGGGAGTTAAGCACCGTGGCTGGGAAAGGAAATCAGTTTGGGACCCATTAAGCACTGGGGAGTGATCTGTCCCCATCACGCTGCTTGGCTTGCGTGTGCTGGGCTGGAGCAGACTCATCTCAAGCCGTGCATTCATCGCCTTCAGCAGAGCTGGTGAAGTGCTGCCCACTTCCCACATGGAGCACTTCCTTAATGAAGAATCAAGAGAGCCCCCCGGGGGACCAGATGCAACTTGGTGATGGAAAGAGTTGCACAACAGGGTGTTTGATTAATGCCTTCTGACTTGCCCAAAAGTTGAGGTCCTTCAGACAGAGCAAGCTTGGCCTTGACTGCAGGGAGAGTGGGAAGGCAAGAGGAGAGGGACAGGCGAGCTGAGGTGTCTGGACGAGGAGGTGGAAGGGAGATAAAGGCATAACAATATCTGAAGGGAGATATCTTTCTCAGGAGAGAAGAACTGAATTGGCCATTACAACCTACTTGTTTTTGGGGGTTGGGGGGGTTGGTTTTGTGGGGTTTTTTAGGTTTTTTTTTGCTGTAAAGCCTTAAAATATAAGAAGAGCAGTTTTGAGTGCACATCTGCGTAACTGTGCGGCCGTTTGGGTTTGGGGCTCGTGGAAATGGGTGTCCTGCCTCTGCCTGTGGCTGGAGGGAACTGTTCAGGGATGAGTAAGAACATACAAGACCAGCCCGTAACCAAAACCAAGTTGGTGGCCGGGGACTTCCTGAGCCTGAGCCAGCTTGTTTTGTTGGGCGGCCTTCGATGCTCTCACCTTCAAAGCTCTGCTCCCATTTCCCCTCAAACTGAGGTACAAACTCTTTTGCATCCACCGAGTCTCCAGACAAGGGTCTTGGGAGCTTTGGAGTCCATCACTCCTGGAAGAGCCAGCAGGAGGCCCAGCCCTTCCTCCTCTGCCCCCCTCCCCGTGCCTTTTTGCAGACCTTTTGGCAAAGACACCCCCCGGGCT